CTGTGTAGTTGTAGGACTTGAACCTGTGACCTGTAGGATAGCCACTTGCAGGTAGGTCATCGTAGGCACCAGAGAAGTAAGGGATTCGAACCACAGACCTATWGGGCAAAAATCGAAGTAGGGTCCAGAGGTCTTCTAGAAGGTCGACCAGTGGGCAAGTGGTGTAGCTAAGTCTACTTGCGCCGTAGGACTGTGACATCTGTCGAAGTCAACTGGTAGGACCTCAGTAGGACTGCAGTGAGTCGTAGGTGAGTCGTAGTGCAGTCGAGGAAGTGTCTAGAAAGTCCCTCTCCGGTCCAGCAAGTACCATATGGGGCTAAGAGTACCGGGGCCAGGGAATACAGGCCAAATCGGAGCTGCACAGAAGTATAAAACAAGAGGCTGCGTCCAGCCATTCATTCATTCCTGCGGAAGCTCTGCGGAAGCGCTGCTCGGGCGTCTTGTGCAAGGGAGGTCTGCAGATGGCCTGAAGACGAAGAGGGCAGAAGTTAGTGATAGGCTAGTTAGCTGTTAGTGGCCATGTGCCATAGCCATAGATAGTAGTGAGTGTGTACGTGTGTGTGCAGTGGTTAGCGTGCATGGTATCCAGGGTGATCCGGAGTCGAGTTGCGTGTGAACTCTGAGTCGAACGTGTAAGTGTGGGCGCCCAGCGCCATAGTCAACTGAAGTAAATTCGGATTTGAGTTGAGTTGCAAGCTACCATATCTCCGAGTTTGAGTTGGGTGCACAGCGCCAGGCTATTCTCATCTGTTGCATGCATGTTTGAGTGTGGATTTGCAAGACTGATTTCATAATATATTAAAGAAAAAGAATTTAGCAGCAACTCAGCAGCATCACAATTCTGGTTGCAGTATTGGTCTGTATGCTGTCTAGGTACTCCCGTTTGCCCCCGAACAAAATGCATGTTAAATCGTGACTGTATACAGTCCATGTTTCTGGTCCTATAAGGAGTCCTCATGGAGCTGTGCCGAGGGTCCATTGTGTCTTGGGGGAAGAGGGAAGCTTCATTTGCCTGGTTGTGGAGAACAGTTATGGGTTTGCTAGTATTGCTACATGATATTGATATTGATGTCAACAAAAAATTGAGTGGGATGCAACTCGATGCGATGTATGTTGTATCGGCAGGCAGGCGTTGAGCTCCGCGTGGTTCATCTAACAGATGCCTATTGGGATAAAGTGGTAGGTACAATAATCAATCATCTCCCCCTTCTATTTGACGATATATATATATATTTTTTTTTACTTTCTTAAAAGTTTTTTTTGACTTTTTCCTTTAACAATGATCATGTTCCTATTATCTTCTCACTGTTTCTCTTCGTACGTGTCTACTAGCTGATTGTGTTGATATCAACAACAATTACAATTTTGGATCAATGTGGCATGCTTTCCTCATCATGCCAAAAAAAACAATGCTGCAGAAAGTGCCAGAAACTGATTTCCACATTTTGTCGGTTAGCACGCACGCAAAACGGTTGGTCATAAATTATCCATGGCGGTTCATCCGATGGCGAAAACGCGGTGCATCCATGGTACTGAATTCCCACGTGAAAAGCAATAGTGAATGCTAATAATGAAATTATTCGAATAATATAACGGGCCCATGATAACTGGGGGTATGGTTCACGGGGCAGTTCTCATTGTGCCGAATGCATGGTCTTTTGTGGTGCCCGTTCTTCGTTTATGTTGGCCTGTAATCGACATGCCACTTGCTGGGAGTGTATGGTGGGCATGCTCAATTCCAACCGTCGTGGCAATTGTTGTACTGAGAATGCTCAAGCTAGGTCTTCCGTGTGCTCATCCACCTCACCCTCACAATGTGTGTCCTCTCTGTCGTCAAGGACAGACTAATTCTTGAGCCTTTGCTTATCCTCTCCTTTGCCTTCGTCTTCATTCCACACTCCTTACTTTTCCTTACTTTTCCTTTTTCTTTCTTCGTTTTTGTCTTCTCTCCCACTCTTCTCTGTGTTTGTTTATCCCCTCCCCCTTTGCTCTGCCTCTTTCTCACAGTGTACAAGTGGGCCATTATGGCATTATTTGTATATTATCATTACGCATTATAAATCATTCTACTATTTAATATTTATAATAAAGAATACACATATTATAATTATATATGTATATTCAGCTTCCTGATGAGTCGGTGAAATTCCGCCGAAACGATCGTCAAACAGAACTGCGCGGTAAACCGTTGGCAGAGAGGGAGACGAGGACAACAAACGAGGGGCTGTGGCAAACTGTTTCGTTGGAGTTTCACCGTCTGACTCATCAGGAGGCTGCACCCTCCGCGGTCTGCAGAGTCCCCTAGCCGATGCTACTGAAAGTGCTAACCCACCTTAACCCCGATTGCGGTTAAGCATCAGTGACTGCTCAACAACTGATACCCTGAGGTGGGCCCTCAAGATACCTGTGACAAAAATCAAAACATTCTATCACTCACCCACACCAGACAGAAAACTCTACAGACTGCTGGTTCACACCCCATCACGAGCCAGTAAAACAC